GGAGTCTGCAGATGGGATGCTGAGGAGACAAATCTGGGGTGACCAACCCAGAGACTGGCAGGAAGAAACCCTGTGAAAGGGAAGAGTTAAATGCAGGATAGCTCATGAAAAGGCATTTACCAAATCAGTGTCTCTCTAGAGAAGAGTGAATCTATTATTTTTAAATCATTAGACATACATATGTAGCTTTTTTTCACTTCATGGGACCTGGAGGTTGCACAGCAGGGGCCTCTTTGAAGGGCCTCCTCTAGAAGTCTGAGACAGAATTCCTGCTGCCCCCAAAGTAAGCCACAACCATGTTTAGTAACCTGGAGAAGAGCTAGCCTTGGAAGCCCTCCCCTTTCACTCTTTCCTCTGGAAGCATGTTGTTTACCTCCCTTCTTAGGCTGTGACCTCCAGAAAGGACAAGTAACACATCTCACTCATGGTTTTGAATCCAGCTTTCTTGCACCAGGTGGGTGCAAGCAGATGCTTAATAAATGATGCTCACTACCATGACCTATGTGTAGGAAGCAAGGGACACATGCAGTATCTCTGACTCCCCACAGCTTCCTTTTACCCCAGAACCCTCTGCTCTGGCCTATGTTCATCTTGCCTGGACCCTGGGGTATACTACACATCCCCTCCTCACTCTTTTTGCAGTCCTGGGGATTGAACCCAGGGCCTCACACATACTAGACAAGTGCTCTACCACTGAACTACACCCCAGCTCTGTTCCTGACCCCTGCGGTTGCAGTAAGGGGAGTAAAGGGTATCTGTTGGGTAGGTCCCAGCCTTGGCACTCAAGCCCTCCTCTGGCTAGGTATCAATGGAACCGAGTAGATGTTCTGTGGTCTGAAATGTTTTTCTTTCCCACCCCAGATCTTGCCTCAGGCTCTCTTTAGTTCCTTGCCCGCTCCCTACCTGGCTAGAGCCTTCAATTGGCTAGACCCTGATACATCCCTCAGGGACAGGGCACAGCTTACTTCAAAGCCTCCTGTACCCTCCACTGCACGCGGTCCTCAGACTCTTCTCTGGGGCTCCCTGATCGGCAGAGCTGCTCAGCTACTCAGCTGTGGGCCCCAGTGGTTTTCCAGTTATGGGTAAATGAGGTTTCACCTTGTCAGGGGCCAGCTTCAGTTAAAAGAGGAGCCCTGAACCTTGTTTTGATGACATGCTAGGAGGGAGGGGTCATCTGTACTTTCTTAGGACAGTCAGGATGTGGTGCCATCCTTGTCCTCTGCTCCCTTCCCAGTCCTTCTCAGAGTCATTGGCCCCCAACAGCTCCAGCCTGAGCTCAGGATTCAGACTGACACACCTCCCTGCACATTCACACACAACCCAGCAAGATGTACTCACACATACGTACAGACCTGCACCTCCATAATTACATATGCATTTATACTCCAATAACAAACTCCCAGCAACTTCCACTGTTTGGAAGAAAGGAGATAAAAGTTCTTGGGAGTTTCCTAACCTCTAACCCTAAATTTCTCTTCCATGACTGCCATGCAGGGAGGAGGTCAGCCTTTGCCCTGGGAGGGGTATAATTGTTTCTGGAACATAGTGCTCTATGGCCTTGACTCAGCCCCAGGCCCTTCCCAGCAAGTGGAATCTACCTTCTGGTCATCCTTTGGTCACACACAGTTCTTTCCCATCTACTCCAGGATATGTCCTTTGGCAGTGTGGCCACATCAGAGGAAGGAAGGCCACTGAGGCCAGGATCCTGGCTGGGATCTGATAGCTTGGCTATTGCCCTAGAGGCAGGCGCTGTCCTTTGGTGTCCCTTGCAGTCCATTTATTTTCTGCTTTTCAGCACCAGGCTTATTGCTAGTTATGTGAAATTCTTTTCTCCTCCAAACTAATAAAAATCCTACATTTCCTTAGAGACCTCATCTAAGATTCTGTTAAAAAAAGACTTCCTGGTGTACTGCTTGGCGTTCCTGCCTCAACCTCCCTGTACCAGCCGCATCTGTGTGAAGAGGCCCTATGAACTGATTCTGGGGCATGTTCCTGACCACCTCAAAGGGTTTCTCCAAGCTCAAGAGGATAGAAGCCCCTTCTAGGCCCAGGATATGGGTCCTATGCTGCTAGAGCTGCCATAGATAAGCTTGGGTTGATGTGTCTGTGGTGATAGCCGTGACCTGCACCTGGCCCCCGCCTCACTAGGTACTTCTGTTCTAGTCACCTGGGTATAGGCGACCAGTTGTACAAAGCCATTGGATGCTTGACCTTGATACTTCTTAAACAGACTCATTTGTAAACAGACACTTGTAGGTGGGAGATTCAAGAGGCATGCTGATGGGTTGGTCCTGTTTCCATCTCCTGCCCTCAACAGAGGAGAGGAGCCACACTGGGAACACAGAAGCTGAGGAGCACTCCAGGACAGTGACGAGGGGGCAGAGGTGGATGTCTTGGCACATAGGCCCTCTTTTAAAAAACGTTTAACTTGGAAATAATGTCAAGTTTATGAGAAGTTATAAAATAAAAAATTCCTTATACCCTTTACCAAGATTTACCTATTGCTAACAGTTTGTTCCATTTGATTCACTATCTATCTCCTACTCTTTACGTGCACACATATGTATAAATTTATGTAGGTGTGTGTATATGAATGGTTGCTCTTCCTGAACCATTCAAAGGTAAGTGACTCCTGTTTTGACCTTTACCCTAAATCCTTCAGTGAGTATTTCCCAAGAACAGGGAAATTTTCTTACGTTACCACAGTGTAGTCACCCACTTCCTAGTTTTACATTGAGACAGTACGTTCCTTAACCTAGCACTCATGTTCCAGTTGTATTTGCAGAATGAACTACGTCCTTAGCGCTCCATGTCCCTGCAGTAGGAGTCAGAATAGGATCAGATTCATTCATTTGTTGTGGCTCTTTAGCCTCCTTTAATCTGGAACATTTCCTCAGCCTTCTTTTTTCTTTTGTGTCATTAAGAAGACAAGAGACTTTTGTGAGGAGGTTTTGCCTGGTGTTTAAGATTAAAGACACTGGTATCCAGCTGCCTGGGCTCAGTCCTGCTCTGCCATTCACTAGCTTTGTAAGAGCAGGCAAGTTGTTTAACACTTCAGTGCCTCATCTAATCATCTGTGAATTCAGAATGGCAATGGGCCTACCTTGTGAGGTGGTTAAAAGGCTTAGCATATGGTAAAAGCAGGGGAGATAGTCATGATGATAACATCATAACAAATCTCCTTTTTCTGAAGGGGCTCTAAGTGCAGTGAGCCCTTGAACCTACAGCCATGGCTGAGAGTCAAGGCCAAGGAGGGTCCTATAATGACAGCTCATGGTCCTGGCTGATGGGCCTTCATTTAGTCAAGGGGAATCTGAGGGCTGGACAAGCAGCTGTATCCTAAGATGGTAGTGGAGACCATCCCTGTTGAAGACCCAGTGGGACATGGCCACTACAACATGAGGAGGTGCTAGGCACTGCGGCTGTGCCAGTGCAGGTCACACCAAGACCCATCAAGCAATGTCCTTCTCAACTACCAGTATGGCCAACTTACATTGTTTAGTCAACCCTAGGAGATGGTGGGGAAGGGGAAAGTGACCTGGGAAACACTAAAGTGACATAGTGTACCTGAGTGTCAATGGGTGGCTTTCCTGCCTTCTGGTACAAAGGGAGGTCCAGAGAAATTCCAAGATCAGTTATAGGAAAAGCAGTTTGCACTTTTGCACACTCATTGGGTTGTTTCCTGAAGAGCTTCTCAGTGACTTCCCATGACCAGATATTCCTCCTCTCTTTTCTGACCTAAAGGAGAACCATGCAATGTGGGAAAGGGTGCTCAAAGGACAACCATGAGATGAGCAGGTGACACAGAATCATAGGGTAAGAAGTCCAGAAAGTCTCTGGACTTCTGAAGCTTGATTCTCTTCTGACTTCCTTAATAAACGTTACCTTATACAGCCTGCCATCCTTCTCTCCATGCACACACGAACCCATTATTCATCACCTATCCCTCACCCATCCATCTATCCATCCCTGCATACACAAACCCAGTCATCCTCCCTCTAACATATATGAATCCGTCACTCATGCATACATCCAATAAGAGATCACTTCTGCTGCACGCTCCATACCTTTGCCTCACCATCCTAATTGTGGCTCATTTTGCATTGTCAAGGAAGGAGTTATTCTGCAAACATGCTTTTTTTCTCTCAGAGAACTTAAAAAAAATTCATTTAAAAGTGCCTAACTTTATTTAGACCAGCCGTTTTGGAAAGAAATTTCCTAAAACAAATCATAAACCTGCTTTCCTTTTTAAAAGAGGACATGCCACCTCATCTAAGTGTTTCTGGATGGAAATCACTGCTTTGCACTAAAAGCAATGGTCTGGATCTTCAGGGCTATTTATACCTCTACTCTTGATGGCTCCAGTTCTGTTTTGTTTTGGTGGTACTGGGGTTGAACTCAGGGCTTCATGCTTGCTATGCAGGTATTCTACCACTTGCCTCCAGTCCCCCAGTTCTGCTTTTTGATACTTTCTTTTGTATCCTCTTTTCTCTGATTCTGGAATAGAGTCATCTGCCACTTCTTACAACTCTTGGCATGCTTCTTCTTTAAATATCCTTGAGCTGGGAGATTGGTTAACAAAATGTGTTAGAATTGTGTGTAAAGCAAGAGGCCCGAGTTCTTGATGCATTTATCAAAGGCTCTTATTTTTAAAGCACACAGTCCCTGCCTTTCTAATTCCTATGTTTGCCTCAACTTTCTAAGCAGTTGAGGTCCTTGGATGTGCAAATCCTAGGCATGGAGGTGGCATAGGGTAGATGAACTGTTCTTCCTTGATCTTTAATGCTTTCTCCCCTGAAGAAGGGAAGAGATACCAGACACTGTCCTGGCTGACTCCTCCCTCAAAAGGACCATGGGAGATGGTGGGAGCATAGGGTGGGGCCAGCTGGGTCAGCGGGGTCCCAAGTTTCTGAGGGAGAGGGGAGCAGCTGGGCCACACTGATAGTGTGCAGGGGGCTGGGGAAGGGACTGTTGACTCTTCCTCACTGAGTGGTGTGGCAATGGCCAGTGTGGATGAGCCACGGGAGTCCAGCAGGGAGCCTGGCCAGGACTCTGAGGACATGGTTTCTTCCCAAAGCGTGGTGCATGACTGGCACCAGAGGTGAGGTGGCTGTTGAGGTAGGGGTGGGGGATTCAGCCTGCAATAGCCCACATGAAGCAGCAACACATGGTAACTCCTTTCAGTACACAGATAGGCACCTGCACTCACAAGGGTCACCTTTGTACAGATATCTATTGTCTGGTGGGAACAGTGACATAGACATTCCAGTAGGGGGCTCCTTCCACTTTCTTTCTTCCCATAAAGATCTCTCACCTTTATTTCTGGCCAGGGAGACATGTACTACCAATTGTGGCAAATACATCTCAACTTGGACAGTGACCCCACTTCAGAAAATGGCAGCCTTCCATGTTTAACAATTGAACACCTTCATTCCCAGGGATGGATGTGTTAACTTGCTCACCTGGCGAAACAGAGAGCCACCAATTGTGTGCATACACTTGGACACATGCTTTCACACACATTGGAGGGTGTGAGGAGACCGAACAGGGCCCAGACAAGTCCCTGGATGGGCCTGACCCCCTCCCTGTTATTTCTGCAGATGCAGGAGTGCTCTGCCTCTCTGTTGGGCTCCCACTGTCAAGGGTCAGGGTCTTGGACTTTCAGGGGCTGAGTCCAGCTCTCTTCTTCCCTCCCCAGGATTTTTGTTAACCGCAGCCTGGCACTGGGGAAGATTCGTTGCTTTGGCTTCGACATGGACTATACTCTGGCTGGTAGGAGGCTGGAGCACAGGGTCTTTGGGGCTGTAGGAACAAGGCACGGGCAACCAGAAACCAACCAGCTTGGATCTTCCTGGCCTCCCTGCAGCCTACAAGTCCCCAGCCTATGAGGCGCTGGCCTTTGAGATGCTGTTGGAGTGCCTGGTGTGTGTTGGGTACCCGCACGAGATCCTGAGTTACACCTATGACCCCACCTTCCCTACCAGGTGTGCTTTCTGGACTGGTGGGATGCTGCAGTCGCCCCGAGATCCCCACTCACAGCCCCATGCTCTCTCCAGGGGGCTGCTGTTTGATGTGCTCTATGGAAACCTGTTGAAGGTGGATGCTCATGGAAATGTGCTGCTAGATGCCCATGGTTTCACCTTCCTCTCAGAGTAAGGGACAAGGGGGTGGGAGAGGGTAGAAGGCAAGAGCTAGGGAATGCAGCTCCACATACTGAAGAAAGTGTGGGGGAACGGGGGAACTGAGGGAGGGAGGAGTGACTCAGGCACACTGTAGATGCTCCACAAATGCCAGCCAGCTGGGATAGAAGGGTGGGTGGAAGTGAAAGGAATAGCCAAGCCTAGACAGGACTTTGGAGGCATTGGGGGGAGGACATTGGCTGTGCCCAGCCTCCTCCTCCCAGGCCAGAGATCTGGAGCTTCTACCCCAGCAAGTTCATTCAGAGGGATGACCTGCAGCGGTTCCACATCCTCAACACGCTCTTCAATCTGCCTGGTGAGGGCTGGATGGAGGGTGTGGGAAGGTTCTTGGCACAGCTCTGGCCTGGGGTCAGCTGCTGGGCTTCCTGGGCCAGTGACTGACCGACCTCTCTATTCCAGAAGCCTACCTCTATGCCTGTCTGGTGGACTACTTCTCTAACTGCTCCAGATACACCAAGTATGTCCCATACTCTGCCCAACTGTGGGGAGACTAATACAATGCTGCAGCTGCCCAAGAGCCAAACTCCAAAGAGGAGACCACACTCCGGGGCAGAGGTTCCTCCTGAGGGCTTATTTATTTATTTATTTTTAAATTTTTTTTTCATTTTTCTTTTATTATTCATATGTGCATACAAGGATTGGTTCATTTCTCCCCACTGCCCCCACCCCCTCCCTTACCACCCACTCCGCCCCTCCCTCCCCCCCCCATACCCAGCAGAAACTATTTTGCCCTTATTTCTAATTTTGTTGTAGAGAGAGTATAAGCAATAATAGGAAGGAACAAGAGTTTTTGCTGGTTGAGATAAGGATAGCTATACAGGGCATTGACTCACATTGATTTCCTGTGCGTGTGTGTTACCTTCTAGGTTAATTCTTTTTGATCTAACCTTTTCTCTAGTTCCTGGTCCCCTTTTCCTATTGGCCTCAGTTGCTTTAAGGTATCTGCTTTAGTTTCTCTGCGTTAAGGGCAACAAATGCTAGCTAGTTTTTTAGGTGTCTTACCTATCCTCACCCCTCCCTTGTGTGCTCTCGCTTTTATCATGTGCTCATAGTCCAATCCCCTTGTTGTGTTTGCCCTTGATCTAATGTCCACATATGAGGGAGAACATACGATTTTTGGTTTTTTGAGCCAGGCTAACCTCACTCAGAATGATGTTCTCCAATTCCATCCATTTACCAGCGAATGATAACATTTCATTCTTCATGGCTGCATAAAATTCCATTGTGTATAGATACCACATTTTCTTAATCCATTCGTCAGTGGTGGGGCATCTTGGCTGTTTCCATAACTTGGCTATTGTGAATAGTGCCGCAATAAACATGGATGTGCAGGTGCCTCTGGAGTAGCAGTCTTTTGGGTATATCCCCAAGAGTGGTATTGCTGGATCAAATGGTAGATCGATGTCCAGCTTTTTAAGTAGCCCTCCTGAGGGCTTTGAGGGCCTCCACTGCAGGGTGGCACCCACCTCTGTAACTTGTGTTGTCCCCTAGGGTATGCTGAGTACAGGGTGACTCCCCTGTCAGAATGGCTAGGATATATGCTCTGGAAGCCCTAGTGACAGGAGAGATCACGTTCCAGGGTTGGTGGTCACTTCAGGCCCCTTATCTGCTTCCCCATTCCCTCTTGATCTCTCCCAGCTGTGACACTGGCTATCAGCATGGGAACCTCTTCATGTCCTTCCAAAGCCTCTTCCAGGATGTGACTGAAGCCATGAATAATGTCCACCAGTCGGTGAGTGGCCCAGGGTTCCAGGACCCTTGGCCTCTCTGCCCTCAGTGCTCCTGGGCAACTTCCAGTCCTCCAGTTGATATAGAGCTTCCACCCCTCTTCCTACTGAGAACTGTGGTCTGGACTCCCCTTACCACACCCACCAGTTGGATGCAGACATGTGTACAGATGAGCACACACACATGCACACCCATGCACATACAGCTGTTCCCTCTTGCAGGGCTGTCTCAAGGAGAAGACCCTGGAGAACTTGGAGAAATATGTGGAGAAGGATGTGAGTAGCCATAGATCAGAGCTATGACTGTCTCTTCTCTGGTCCTTTCCTTCAAGGTTACCCAGACACTTGGCTCCCTGGCACTGCTCAGGGCCTTCCCTCCTGGCTTGGAGCCCACCTTCTCTGGAGGCTGGGCTGAGAGTGGTTCCCAGGGACTGAAACCCAAGAAGGAGATCCCAGTGGCAGTTCTGAGAGGTTGGGAATCACTATTACTGCTTCTTTGTCCCAGGTACGAATCCCTATCCTGCTGAGCAAGATGAAGGAGGTTGGGAAAGTGTTTTTGGCTACCAACAGCAGCTACAACTACACTGATGTGAGTCTGCACATGGAGGGGCAGGGCCCTCTGCTTGGCTTCTAGTCCCAGGGGACACTGAGGCATTGTAGGAAATAACGAAGGGATGAAGAGGAGCAAAGACCTTCCTATTCTCACCACCTGGCTGGCCTCTTGGGTTCCATTTCTTGGTCTCTCAAGTCCTCAGTGAAATGGACAATGTTTCCACTATCTTGTTCCTATGGCACTAGGAGGGAAGATAGTGGGGTGAGGGCAGAGGCAGGCAGTGACTCCCTAGCCCAGCCCCAGTTCTGTGACCAACTCCTGCCTATCTCTGCCAGGCCATCATGACTTACCTGTTTGACATTGGTGAGGCAAGTATCTCGTCCAGTCTGGGGAAACTGTACAAAGGGCAGGGAGGGTCAGTTTCTCCCATGTCCAGTCCTCCCTCAAGGAAGAACCAAGCATGTGAGTGAACCTCTAGGCCTTTTTTGCTGGAGCTGCTGAGTGGGTGAGGCAAGATCCCTAAGAAGACCTTCAGGAGGCAGTCAGATGTTTGGGGAGAGGTGGGATGGGGTGAGAAGGGGGTGAGATAAGGCATGGCAGGCCCAGGGGATGGGGATGTTGTGATGGGCCCTGGGCTGTGGATGTGACCAGGTGTTGCTGGGTGGATGAGTGTGGTCCTAGCCTGGTGACTGTGCTTATATCACACGTCCCTGATCGTGACATGCACTGTGAGGAGCTCTGGAGGGTGACCTAAGTGTGCACGATGCCAACACCCACCTGTTGAGCACATAGTGCACAGCTTGGTTGGAGAGACTGGAAAGCAAGACCTCCTGGTTCCAAGGTCCAGGGATGTCTTATCCGACTGGGAGGCTGTCAGGGAGGGGGCAGGCTGTGACAGGAGCCTGCTGTGGCAGGACCAGACTTCCCAGGCTGGGTGTGCCCCATGTTCCTGCACATGCACGCCCCCTCACCCCATCCCACAGGCTGAGGCCTCAGCCAGGCCCTGGAGGTCCTACTTTGACCTGATTGTGGTAGACACGCAGAAGCCCCGCTTCTTTGCAGAGGGGACAGTCCTGAGACAGGTCAACACGGTAATTGCCTGTGCTAAGTCCCATTCTCCTTGACTCATAGTTGGTGGAGGGGAGACTTCTTGCCCTTAGACTTGACCTGCATGTGGCTATAGCTGGCTCTGCTGGTATCTGTCTGTGGAGAAGGAGAACCAGGGGACTACTTCAGGGCCCTGTGGCATTCTTTCTCCCTTGCCCCCATGACTACTCCAGCCATTCTAGGCCCCCTTCCCTGACTAGGGAAGACATTGTGATTGTCTTGGCTTAGGGCTCCCTTCTACCCCTCCAGGACTCTGGGAAGCTCTGTGTGGGTACCTACACTGGGTCCCACCAGCACTGTGCTGTCTACTCTGGAGGTACCAGCTTCTACCTTATCCCTTTGGCTCTATGGGTGTCCACTCTCACCCAAATCCCTAACTTCCCACCAGGGCAGGAAGGTGAGAAAGTGCCTGTTCTCTCTTGGTGTGGCAGGCTCATCAGATGTGGTGTGTGAGCTGCTTGGGGTGTGGGGTAAGGACATCCTGTACATTGGGGACCACATCTTTGGGGACATTGTCAAATCCAAGAAGCGGCAGGGCTGGCGGACTTGCCTGGTGGTTCCTGAGCTGTCCTGGGAGCTGGGCATCTGGGCTCGTGAGAAGGGTGAGTTGTGGGGGTCAGGACTGGGCATTCATGCTTTGGCTAGTCCCATCCCTATCTTCCCCCTTGTTCTGTGGTGGGTTTGTAGTGATCAGGAATCTATTTTATACATAACTAGCTGAAGGTGTGGTTCAAGCAGTAGAGCACCTGCCTAGCAAGTGCAAAGCCCTGAGTTCAAACTTGGGTATTTTATACTCACGGAGGCAGAGACCCAGAGAGATTAAGAGGCTTGCCCAAAGTCACACAGGTGGTAGAGGCCAAGCTGGGACTCAAATCCTCATCTTCTGACTCCAGATTCCCAAGGTGTTTCTCAGGGCTGGTTTCTTTCCTTCCTCACCTTATCCTCTTTCCTTATCTGCCCTGAGGACTTTAGTGTGCGGGAGGCACACACTTTCCACTTAGGAAGATGTGAAGCCAGCCTTGAGGTTAGGGCTTGCTGTGAGTCCAAACAATTTGGAATTTGTTCCAAAAGCTGCTAGGTTTGAGTCATGCCTTGTGACTTTGAGAAGTCACCTGACTCCCTGAATGCCCTTGCCATGTGTCCCATGGGGCTATGCTATCCCTGCTTTGCTTTAAGTGGAGTCTCACCTGACTGAAGGGGTCACAGATGTTATAGCTGGAGGAGTAAAGACCACCCCACCTCACCCCCAGCCATCTGTGGCCTGGCAGGCAAAACTGAGCAGGGCCAGTGGGTGACTCAGGCTGTCATTCACCTGTGCTGTCTGGTCTTGTGTTTCAGAGTGGTCAGAGCAGCTGAAGAGGCTGGACACACATCTCGCAGATCTGTACCAGTAAGAACCCTGGCTTTTCTGGTGGTGATGGGGTGGGAGAGGATGGAGGGGGCAGCAGCCGTGTATAGGTCTGGCAGTGAGGTTTGGGCCAAGGTCATCAGAAAACCAAGATGATGTGTTTCAGACTGGACTTCCCTAATAAACTGGACTTTGGAATCTCACTGACCCCCTTGGGACTACTCAATTCCACGACATTCTTTCCTCCTAATCCACTGAGCATGGAGTAAGGGGTCTGCCCTCTCACTCACATGAACATGCCAAGCCACACCCTCAATGGATGCTCACAGGCATCCTCTCCACCTCCTCCCCCCCCCCCCCCCCCCCGCACCGCCATGGGGCCCAGGGAGACCATAGTCCTCTCCTCTCCTGGGACATATGGCCATTTTTGCTCCAGGCACATGGATGGGAGCACTTGTGGGCTACAAGCCATCAACTCTACCAAGAAGGAAATTCAGGTAAGAGCTGGGTGATGAGTGAGGAGGGGATAAGCCCAGTAGGGGATGAGGGGCTATGCCTCCTGCTGCCTGCCTGGATCTGCTTTGTTTGTTTCCAATGCCAGGAGCTCAGCTAACCTGATTCTCCCTAACCTTGCTCAAGTGCCACCTGACCTTGTCCTTCAGCACCCTCTGCTGGCTGATGTTCCAAATGACGGCAGTGTGATGTTGCTGGAGGGTTGAGCCTGATTTGTGGGGTTTGCCTCCCTCTGGCCCCTCAATCTTCATCATTAACACTTCTGAGAAGTGCCTGCCTGCTGGGTTGGGTCTTCTTGTGGCCAACTAATCAGCTATGTTCAAAGTTTGAGGTCAGCTATGTTCAAAATTTGGAGAAGGTGCCTGAGAAAATGCAACTCAGGGCCAGTGAGCAGATGGGTCCTGGGAAAAAAAGAGAAAGGAAAACATTCCCATGTGGCTTTGCTGACCATCTGCCATGGATGCTGGGTGATTCTCACAGGCCAGCCAGGACTAAGGGAGTCAGACCATTTGGCAACCCTAAACCTGAGTGGGATCAATAATGAAGTTTTGGGCAGCCTTTTGCAGGTGATAAAGAATAAGGACATAAAACACAGCCATTTGAACATCCCCAGAGCCTGGCAGGTGGCTGTATGGGGGTTGTCACCCTTAGTTTTCAGATGGAGAAACTGAGGCTACGAGAGAATCAGTGTGCATTTGGTCACCCTGGATGTCAGACCAGTTAGTTTTTCACACTCCAAAAGTAGGGCCTGGAGGTGGGATGGGGCCTGCCGGGAAAGCAACAGTGAGACTGGGCTATGGGCCTTGCCAAATCCTCTGTTGGGTGCGTCAGAAGATAAATGAGGCTGTGGTTTTGGTCCTAGGTGGTTAGTTTTTGGGACCAGGCAGGTCGCAGTGAGGGAAGCCCAAAGTGGGATCTGTGGCAAAGTGGAGAGCTAGCTCACCTCTGTAAGTATGGGTAGCTGCCTGCGGGAGCAGGACGTGCATCTCCTTCACTGCACGCGGGCACAGTCCTCAATCCCCAGTGAGGGAATGGATGATGGCAGGATTGTGTCCTTGCCCAGCAGGGGGTGTTTGTCCTCAGGGTGCGTAACCAGTGCCATGGACTGTGCAGGTGGAGATGGGTAGGGATCTCAATTCATGGTACTTCCCCTCTGATCAGAGGGTCACCCGGGAGCTGGACCTACGCTACAGCACCCATGGGGAGCCTGTTCCACTGTGGCTTCCACCAGACACTCTTCTCCAGCCAGCTGATGCGCTGTGCTGACCTCTACACCACCACCTGTCTCAACTTTCTGCACTTCCCACTCAGCTCGCTATTTCGGGCCGTCCCAGAACTGGTGGGTCTCTGCAGAATTTCCCTGGCCTTCTCTAACTTCCCCTGACAATGCACCCCAGGAAACCTTCCTTCCCCTGCTACCTCTTCTTGCAGCATCTTTGGGTGGGAATCTGGTAGCCATGGGCAGGGAGTCTATGCATAACTGAGGAATCCTGGGAGGCCCTTCCAGGATTCCATCTCCATCTGCCTTTGGCCCTACAGATGCCACATGAGTTGGTTGTGGAGCAAGAACGGGCTAGACTGGACTCTGCCTCCTGCTTCCTAACTTCCAGTCAGAGGGTAAGTGGCTGGGAGGTGGCCTGCTCTACTCTCCACAGCAGAGACAGGAGGAGCCACCTTGCTGTGGCTACCATGGGCAAGGGCAGTAGTGACCAATAGGGTGGCATCAATCATTGGGGACAATGGGAAATTTACAAGGGCTTTTTGTTTTATTTTCAAGTGTAGTGATTCTTGAGGACTTAAGTAGAAATACATATTATAGATTGCTTTTAATTTTTCCTTTTAGTTAGAGCATTATGCTGATTCTTAAAATTATAGATACTATTTATGAATTTTAGGGAAATTTAAATGTTTTCAAAAATAGGACATTAGGGCTGATAGAGCCATAGGCTCTGCTCAACAGGGATGAGCTGATGGTTGCCCTGCACCTTTACAGACCATGGTTGGCTGGTCCACTGTCCAAATCCATCCCCACTGGGACAGGTTGTAGGTAGGGCACGCACTATCCCTACCTGGGGCTTCGTCTATAGGAAGCCTCTATAAATACCAAGTTGCAGGTGCTCTGCTTCAGATCCTCTGACATTTGGGATGAGATTCTGCTATCATGAGTGACAACTTAACTCCTAGCTGGGGTCTGCATCCCCAAGTCCTGCTGTGGTTTTCCTATAGCTCACTTGCTAAAATGTCCATTTCATAGGTTCCCTTTAGTCACAAGGTTGTTCTTTCAACCAGTGTGTATTGAGTGCCTCCTCCTTGAGGGTAAAGTACAGAAGGAATAGTAGGCTACTTTATTCCTGCCTAGGAGAAGCTCAAAATGCAAGTGCATTCATAATCTGTAGTCAGTGGTTTGCAGCTAGTTTTCCATCTTAGTCCGCTGGAAGACTGGATACACTCCCACCAATATCAGCAGGCTCTTCTGGGGAGAAGAAGCGTTGGCTTGGTCAGTCCACGCCCTTATGCTTATCCGGACTCAGGCATTTTGACACATATTCTACCTTTGCTTGGGAGTCCCTGTGTGAGTTTGGGAATAAGGGTTGGTTCCAAAACTACTTTTCTTTGTTTCTTGTAAGGCTGAGAGGAAAGAGAGAGATGAGGACCAGGAGGAGGCTGACTAAATCCTGGACAGGAGCTGGCAACACAGGTCATCTTCTGCTGGAGATATTTTTCAGATAACAGGAAAAGTTTGGAAGGAGGAGAAAGCAAGTGTATTGAAACTGCCTAAATATAACAGATTTGGAGCTGAAGAACACTTCTTTTAGAGAGGAGGAAAGAGTACTGATCTTATCCTAGAAGATATCCCCCAGGGTCTTTGGGCCTTTTGGAAATGTGTGCAACAAATAGGATTATTTTAGTCAGTCTTCCAGAGCTGCACTGTGTTTCACATCTACTTTTATTTCTAAATATTTCTTTTTGAAAACAGTGTTTCTGTGCCTTTGATTCTATTACATAATTTACAAAACCTGGTTGGCTAAAGATTGTTTCATTAACTGTTCTTTCATTCCAGGTCACTATGAAAGATGAAATAAGATAGCCTAAACATCTTTGAACTTGGCACATATATGCATTAAAACATATTAAAATTCACACTCATGATTTGAAAACTTGATTCTTCATTTTGGTAGGAGCTTCTCTGGTCAGCCCCGGCCCCTCATTGTTTTGAGGTCATTGATTTTAATTCTCTCCTACTGTTCACCTTTTGCCTGTCAGTGGTATCGGCTGGCATTACCGGGAGGCTTAGACTGAATCTACATGTGGGAAATGACAAGGAAAGTCCTGGAAGGAACACAGCTGCCTGATGGTAGAGTTCTCTAGTTTCATTTTCTGTGAATCAACAGTGGTTCTTGGAATGTCTGAAGACCACTAAGGGGCACAAGTTACACGCTCAGGGAGTTTACTTTCCAATCTCTCCCGTGTATTTCAAAAGTTTTGGGCCTGGCTCTGCTACGGTCTTTCCTTCTCCTGGACAGATGTCCAGTCCCAGAGCCTGGAGGGGCAGATCGTCCAAGCAAGGACCAGGTGTCACTGGCCTGGGGACTTTAAATCCTAGATCTTTATTAAGGGCTAGAGGAATTTCATCAGGAAGACTTCTCAGTCACTAAGACACATGCTTTTTCTGGAAAGGTCTTGGAATACAGTATAGTGACCAATATTATGAAACAACCAGAATTCCCTCCCAGGGTACAAAGGATGTAAGGACTGAGGTATAAATATCCATCAGAAGTAACTTAAAGGTCTTGGAGAGGGTGGAGAGGTAGGAGTGGCCACTCCACTGCCTAAAGCATTCCCCTGCCTCTTCTCTCTCAGTTCTGAGGCCTCTTCTCCTCCCTGGCTACAGCAGTTCCTTCTCTCTCTGGCCCATAGACCTCTTTCTCAGGACTTACACATTTGCATTTGATTCTGATTACTAAGTGTCCCCGCTAGACCTTCAGCTCAGAGGGGTTCGGTTCTTTTGGCTCATTATTGTTATCTCTGGCATCTGCAGTGTCCTGTGCATTTTGTTGAATGAAACAGGGCACCCAGTTCCTTTATTACTCTGAGTGTGCTTAAAAAATTGCAGGGAACAAAAAAAGAGGAAGTGGTGAAAGACTATAAAGGCTGTGGCTTAGAACTTTCCTCAATGCTCATGAACTTGTTTGGGAAAACATGGAGTGGGATAGAGACTTGTAGGTGGGTATTGTTCATTTGATACAGGTTTTGTTTATTTACCCTAAGGCCATCTCTATACTTCAGCTTGTCTACCCTTTAAAGATGTACACCACTGCTCCTAAGGCTGACTGTGTGTGATAGACACTGACAGTCATCCCTTTTTCTAGAAGAATTTTTAGTTGGGTACATGGCCACCTGATAGACATTTCCAAGGTTTCTTTGAAGATGGGTGGGGACATGTGACCAAGGATTGGACCAAAGTAATGTGTCCAGTTTCTGAGTTGTGACGTTAGGAGAGTTTTGCCTGGTCCTTCCTCTTCCCCCTTCCAGTGGCTGGAGAGTGCAATGGTTTGACCCACATGGACCAGATAGTATGGTAGGGATGGCAGAGTCCCACAGCTGATGTGGCCTGTGCCTGGCACCATCTCAGCATTGAGACTGTCGATGTGAGAGAAATGCATTTGTATTTAGGATTAGTTACAGCAGCTGGATCAATATCCTAACTCTGACTCAGAGTCCCCAGGAGTCAGAAAAAAAGTGACCAAGTCACCACATTTGCAGAGTAAGTGGCAGTACTTCTGCCATCAGTCACTCCTGTTTGGTAAACTGGGAACAGCTCAGGGACTTTTTTTTTCTCTCTCAGATTTGCTTCTTCTCTGTCACCATCCTACTAATTTCCTTACATTAGAGATAGAAGTTAATAATGGCTCTGGACCTGGAACCAGACAGCCTTGAATTTGAAAATTTACCTTGTCACTTATTGTCTAAATACTATTTCCATATCTATGTCACAAAGCTGTTGTGAGAATGCAGTCAAGTATATACATGGAGCTTGGCCAAAGCAAGCATGAAATCAGAGTTTTCTGTACAATGATAAATTTAGCGTGTGTGTGTACATTAGTAAGGATTTTTTTTTTCTATTAGCAACTGACAGAAGCCTAAATGAAATGAGCTTAAGGAAAAAGGGGGTTGGCTCTTATAACTGAAACGTCCAGGGCCAGGCCAGTTCTAGGCCTAGCATGAGCCAGGGGATCAAATTTTGTGTCACTGATATAACCTCACTCTTTCCAGCTCTCAATTTTATTCTGTGTTGAGACTATTTTTTTTTTGGCAGGTTTTGTTCATATCAAAATGGCTAATCCCAGACTCTAGATTTTCATCTTATCTTTTCAGGAATGCTACCAGGAAATGTCTTTTCTCAAGAAAAGTCTGAGAAATGGAGTCTCACTGGTTTTGACTGAGACAGGACCCCATCCTCTAATCAGTGCTTCTGGCTAGGGAGAGGCCCAGCTCTGGTTGTCCAGGCCTGGGTCACACGCTTGCCCATTCCTCTCAAACCGTTTAAGACTATGAGTGGGAAAGATATAGTCCTAAGGAAATTGGGGTTCTCTTATTAGAAGAAGTACATGTCAGGCAGATAAAAGCAGTCTTTTATAGCATGTAACAGACTCAGCAGTGTCTGGCACAGTAAACACTAATAAATGCTTCTCGTTCATGGTCATTCTGCAGTGAGGCCATATGTAATTCTCCTTATCTTCTTTTTAAATTCACTTTATCCTCACTTCCTCTAAAAAGCTGTCCTTAAACAACATTAGGTGTCTACAAATACCTGTATTTCCATTATAACTCCCTACAAACCTCCTTCCTGGGATTAAGGACCTGCCTTCTTTCCTCCCATTGTCCCTCCCTCTAGCTCCCTTTATCTAGGAACAGCTACTTACTTAACAAGAAGGCATCTACAAAGTGCCCTAGAATTAAGGTGCAGTTTTCTGTAGTTTCTGTAGCATCCACGATCATTTCCACATCCCTTTGTACTGAGAAGACTATTTAATCTGTTCTTATTATTCAAAACTTCTGATTTGTCATTTTGAAAATTATACATTATAAGACATCAATAGTTTAACCTACACTGTTATGTTAGTGCCAGAGGGTACTGCAAAGAACTGACAGCGAAGAAAGAGAAACAACTCTTCAGAGAACTGAGCTGCAATACGGTTTTGAGATGTGAAACCAGCACAAAGAAATCAGCTTATTCTCAGGCCTGGGAAGGGAGAAGGAGAGGGGATGAGTGGCAGGGGTGAGCCATTTAGAAGCCAGAGAAAAGGTGAACACACAAGCAAAGGGTGGCAGTGTAGGCTTAATCCTAAGGACCTATCCATAGAATGAAGGCATCTAAGGTCTGAGGCAAGCACTTTCCTTACATGGATGGACTTGGTTCAGGCTTTTAACCTGGTGATTTTAATACCTGACTCCTCTGAGTCCCACATTCAGACTTGTGGTTTCTAAAAAATCCTCTGAGCTGACAGCTCAAAGGAAGATTCAGTTGTGGTGATTATCTACTGCTCATGGAGAATTGGTCTGCTGGCCTTATTTATAGCTCAGTTTTATGAACTTTGTTATTATAAACCTGACCTTGACAGATAGACCGCTTCCCTCACAGTGAAAAAATCAGGTGGAACTGATGGTCAGACCCTTAAATAGGGTGAGTCCTCCAGGCAATGAATATTCCCTATGAATATTCCCATGAATGAATATTGGGGAAGTCTGTTGGTGTTTCCGAAGAGAAACCCCTAGTTTTCTTGCCAAGCCATCACCACTGCTCTCTGTAATAAATAAATGAATAAAGCAAGAACAAATAACAATTCAATGATTTAAAAAAAATTTTAGATACATTTAAATATAAAGAAAGCTAAAATTTTAAATGTATTTACTAGGCTTTTCTATACATTGTATTTACAAAGTGACTCTATTTTTCCAGCAATTGCTAGAAGGAAGAAAAAGAAACCTGTAATAGTCTCTGGGGCTCACATGGCCTTTTCAGGCTATCTTTCCCCTGGCAGAGAGAAGAACTGAAGTGAAGAAGCAAGTGTTGTTTGAAAAGGGTGAGGACCCTTTTCCCCTATCTCTTTTGTTTTTACTTGAAGTGTTTTCTGAATAACAAATGCAAAATTAAGTTTGGACATGAAAAGCTAGATCTAGGATTGTGTTTCATCTGAGGATATCTGAGGAGACAGAATCACCCTTTATCTACAGGGACACTGTGATAGAAGTCCAGATCACCATAAATGTCATTTGAGATCTCTGAGCAAAGGTATAGCTAGTATAAACTTGTCTGTTACATGAGGAGTTTGACCACCCAGCCTGCAAGCTGGTTTCAAATCTCAGCTGTTCCACCTGTAAGAACTTGCCCTATCTGCTAAGGATGCCAAAAGGAAAATCATACCACAGCATCAACCTTCGGGTATAAAAACAACAGGAATAAAGTAGATCAGTAAAGTACAAATTTTTTTCCATGCTTGTGGGGAAACTTATGTATGCTGCAAAACTGTGACAAATCAGTCTTAAACATATAAACCAAAAACTCTCCTGTGCAGACATAAAATTTGAGAGAAAACCCAGTGACTCACTTCCTCAATTCCTAGGGTCCATAATTTGCATCCACAACATCTGAACATTATACATTTTTTTCAGGTTACCTTACTTCTTGGAGGTTCTGAAACAGGAAATTATGATTCAAGGATCTCAAACCCCAATGTTATAGGCAAGGCCTCGTTTTTACGGAAAATAAAGCACTCTGTTTCTTCCACTTCTAGTAGCTCGTCAAGAGAAGCCACTACCAAATCATGTTCCTGTAGCATTTCTGGGTAGCGGGACACTGCTCGCTCAATCCTTGTGGAGCGCCTTACGGGAGTAATTAGCTTCATGTCTTGCACTTCTGGCATTCCATTCATTCTGAAAGAGAGAGCAAAAGATGCATTCAAAATCTTACAACTTTCCCCAAAATTCTATTCCTTACTCTTTGTTTCTTATTCCATAACAGAACATGATAGACATTTTAACCTAAGTTGATACAAGAGATAAGTCTAAGGTAGTTCTCAATTTATTGTGGCTCTTCCTGACTTTTAGAATGTACTGGGTGGTTCATTCACAGGGATCTAAAGAATGAAGTGTGAAGTGTGGTTTTTTATTTGAAGTTATCTGCTTTGCAGTTGGTGTTAGTTTATCTCAAAACATTTAAAAAGAATATATAGGTTTTGGTGGGAATGCAAACTATTGTGACCACTCTGGAAAAAAATTTGGAGGCTTCTTAAAAACCTAAACATAGACCTACAATATGATCCAGCAATCCCACTCCTGGGGATATACCCAAAGGAATGTGACACAGGTTACTCTAGAGGCACCTGCACACCCATGTTTATTGCAGTGCTATTCACAATAGCCAAGTTATGGAAACAGCAAAGATGTCCCACTACTGACGAATGGATTAAGAAAATGTGGTATTTATACACAATGGAATTCTACTCAGCTATGAAGAAGAATTAAATCTTATCATTCGCAAGTAAATGGATGGAACTGGAGAACATCATTCTGAGTGAGGTTAGCCAGGCTCAGAAGACCAAAAATCATATGTTCTCCCTCATATGCAGACTTTAGCTCTAGGGCAAATACAGCAATGTGATTGGACTTTGGTCACACGATAAGGGGAGAGCACACAGGGGAGGTATGGGGATAGGTAAGAAACCAAAAAAACATGACAGTATTTGATGTCCTCAATGCAGAGGAACTAATGCAGAAACTTTAAAGTGACAGAGGTCAATAGGAGAAGGGGATCAGGAACTAGAGAAAAAGGTCAGTTTGAGAAGAATCAACTTAGAATGTAACACATTTGTACATGGAAGCAATGCTAGGAATCTCCCTGTATAGCTACCCTTATTTCAACTAGCAAAAATGCTTTGTCCTTCTTATTATTGTTTATACTCTCTCTACAACAAAATTAGAGATAAGGGCAAAACAGTTTCTGTCTGGAAGAGAGGGGGTTGGGGGGAGAGGGAAGGGGCATGGGGAAGAGAGAGAGGGGATTGGGGGGAGAGGGAGGGGGCAGAGGGTAGGGGGTCGGGGGGAGAAATGGCCCCAACATTGTATGTACATATGAATGAATGAAAAAAAAAAGAATATATAGGTTTTAAGGAAATTGGGCCTAACACTAAATTTGGTTGAATTAATGAATTCTAAGATTCTTTAAGTTCTGATAGTAAATTATTCAAAAAACATCTTTTAGGATAGGATGGTGGCCCAAACCACAAAATGAAACTGGAAAAAATTGGGCATCTTCCTTATAAACCTTTGTAAATGCATTCTCTATAGAGCATTTACCATACAGTGACTCCTGATCCACAGCTCATGAAACCACCGATTAGTCTTAGCAAAACTAGCAGGCAGTTCTCGTAAATAGGTCTCACAATATTTCCAGAGTGCATAGAGGTGGTTTTGGATCAATTGCGTGTTTTCATTCATCCCTGAGATGACAGTAGCAGGGAGTGATAGATCTAGGATGGGAAGGACCAGCTATACTTTCTAGGGAACTAAGACATAGAGCTGTTGTCCTCATGCTCTTGGATTTCTTTCAAGATAATGGATGGAGAAGACTGAAGCTAAATTTAACTTTTGGAAAATGATGTTGACACCATGATGTACCTCCTTAAAATGACTATAGGTTCTGCCTTAAACATATGCTTCTTACAAAAGCAGAACACTTCGGACTAATACATACTCAATTGCCTTCCCTATTCATACAGGCCGACTTACTGCCCCTTCTCTTCCACAGCTCCAGAGGTTGCCCCTGTTTGGGGCTGGCTCTCTTATCACCCCATCTACTTAGGCTGGCAAGAAAGGTAGGAGGGGCATCCAAGTGAAGGGCAAATGGGAGTTAAGAGAGAGGGGTATGGTGTGTGTGCAGAGAAAACTGCAGACCTTCCTTTCGTGTTTTCAACTTCCCCTCACTCTTAGCTCCTTCCTGAATGCCAAAATCAAATCGGGCTGCTTGGATCTCATATAAAGCAGAGGTATCGGCAAATTGTTGTTACTCTGGATCGGAGGAGGTAAAATTGAGAACCAAACTAGAATTAGGTCTGTGATCACAAAGCCTGCTTTAGAGTTTGCTTACCTAGGGATTGAGGCAATCTGTAATTTGATACCAGGATGATTATCCTGCTCTGCCTTGGTTACTTGGGGTGTTGCTGTAACCTGTGCCCTTTCTTCTTGAGGAAGATAAGCCTGCCCACATTCCATCTTCATGGCCAATTCCTCCATTGATTTGATATTAGTTTCAGCACCTAAAGAGTCTGGAGTAATTCCTGTTTATGCAAAGATCAGGAAGGAAAGTAAGAAATTTAACACCTATGCTAAAGCTAAAAATCAATAAAATGAAAAAGTAATATAAACAATGATTTCTCTGTGATCCTCAGGGACTCCATATATTAAATAAATAGTGGTTGATTTGAAGTGAGGCTTACATCTGGTTTTTCCTGCTAAGCCCCACAGCAATGTCCTATGACATTAGGCTATCCTACTAACTAGATAGCCTTGGGCCTCTTTGTCACTTGAAGATGAATCCTGGGTACCCTTTTGATACTCTCTGCATGTCCATTATCTTATTCACTCTCAAGAGCTCTCTTAGAGACAACTTATTGGCCTTCTACCCTTATACCATACTGTGGATCAATTTTCTTGTCTACTAGGGTTAACTCAATTTTATCAATCCACTCTTTACCCAGTGATGACCACGTTTATTGCCGTGGTTGAGTAAAAAATGTCTTCCATTAACATAATTTTCATTATCACCTAGCAACAACAACCAAAATGAAAGGAAATAAGTTAGACTGAGATAGGCAGATGCTGAGTCTAGAGACCGAGTTTAATAGGGCCACAAGCAGCAAAGGCATGAATTCTTGCTTCCTCTTTTCATCCCTTTGAAAAACAAAGCCATACATAATAAATATATGTGTCAAATATCTGAGTTATAGTATCATTCCAGAGTCTACCACTATTCCCCAAAGTAGTGGGCTACTTAGCTATAATTCTGCATGACTTAATTATTCCGTTTTAATCTACTCATAAAAGAAAAAGATTTGTCACCTTCTAAGATAACAAGAATAATCCATTTTATTTTCAAAAGATAGCTTGTTCTTATTTTCTATATGATATAATTGCTTATGATATTTGTTATTTTTCACATAACAAATATCATAAGCAATTATAATATATCAATGTGCTTGGCATAATAGTTCTCATGAAAGAATCCTCTAAAGGCTCTTACCAATGACAATAATGGTTAACTAAGTGAAGAGACTCTTGGGATGGCTATTTTTGAAGAGATAACATGAATTTACATGAGTAGGTGATGGTGGGTTTATTATGATTAAACATGTAACTTAAACTAAGGCATCTCTCTTTGCCTCAGTCTCATCTGATAAACAGCCATTCTTTTTCTCCCACCTAGGACTCCAGGAAAGCAGGATTGTTTATGTCTAGGTTGCTTTGTTGGATACAACCTTTGTTTAGTGTTGAGCACATATTTACTTGTAATAATAGAAATAAGTCAGTTGATGATAATGGCTGAAAAGGCCAGGCCAGGAAAACCAAGAAGTGAGAGGTTTCAGGGGCCATATAATTTTTTCCTATGTGTTCTTGGATGATTTTTACTTGTACAGCTAGAGGGAATGAATTTAAATGTAGAAACAGCAGCACCTTCTGTGTTTCGGCTTGGGTCTTGCAAAATATGAAGAACAACTTTCCGCAACTCTTGTATTGGCTGGAAGGAAGAAGAAAATAGATAGTATTAAAGAATTCATGGAGAAAGTGAGCTAACATCAAACAAACTGTCTATAATAAAAATGTTTTCTTTTTAAATATCCTGCCTAGCTATTAACAACATTTAAAATGTTTCAATTTCAGGGTTAACTCAATTTTATCAATCCACTCTCTATCCAGTGATGGATAGATGTTTATTACCTTGGTTGAGTAAAAAATGTCTTCCATTAACATAATTTTCATTATCACCTAGCCACAACAACCAAAATGAAAGGAAATAAGTTAGATTGAGATAGGCAGATGCTGAGAGCTATGAGAAAAATTAAGGAGTAGAGAAAATGTTAGTTGAATGTGAGCATACTTGATTTTAATGAAAAGAAATTTAGTGTTTTAAAGATGTCTGTTATTGTCCTATTAAGTGTAACATACCATTGAAATATGTTCCCATATAAAAATTCTGGTCCAGAGATGTAAAGCTAATGATGTAGTGTTGTGAGCTTAGCTTTTTTTTCATTATAAAAAGTTATATCCTCACTTCAGAAAAATTGTACAACATGTTAAACTCAACAACAACAACAAAATCACCCACAGTCCCAAAACCCACATATAGTATTTGTTAGCCTTTTTAGAAATTTTCCCCAGCCTTTCCTTTCCTTCTTTTATTTGGTAAAACAATACAGTATAACATACCATAAAAAATAACTTCATAGAAATGTAATTTTCTTTTTTTCCAGATTGAAGCCAGGGCCTCACAAATGCTAGGCAAGATGCCTACTACTGAGCTATATCCCCTGCCATAAAAGAGTAATTTTCTGAGAAGCTGAGGCAAGAGGACCAGAGCTTGAGGCCATAGTGAGGTTGGGTTACACAGTGAGATCCTGTCTCAAAAGTGAAAAAAAAATTTTCTGATACAGTGATCTAAGTATGTAAGCCATGCCACAAAGCAGAACATCATAAAGTGAACCTTTTCATAGGAACATTATATTTGGAAGTTTGTCTTCCTGACCTGGTACTTTGTATCAACATTAATACTAACAATGAGCATAAAAGCAAAGCTTTTAATACATTTTTATAGACTCTAAAAAGGCATTATGCTTGAGGCTTAGTGAAGTGGGAATAAACATTCAGAATACTTGCAGAGTCTGAATTTACAACACTTTCATCAAGCATATTTTACATTTGTACAGGTTGATTGAATACACATTTCTAGTCTCTCTTAAAACTCTATAAAATGATAATAAAGATTAGAAAAGAGGCAATAAGTACAAATAGGAAAGAATAAATAGCAACAAGATTTTTGGAAGCTGGAATATACAAGGAAGAGAAGTGCCAAGTTGATCACTCGAAGAGAGTTGAATCCTGAGCTGTCAGTATGACCGAGGAAAAACCTGATTCACAACAGAAGGCTTCTATCAGGTTAAGAATGGGAGGTGAGGGTGAATATAAGTATGATATGGTTGATACATTATAAGAACCTTTATAAATGCCACAATGTACCCCCACACAGCACAACAATAAATGGAGGGGGGGAAGTATGGGAGGTGGAACCCAAATCAGGTTTCTGGAGCATTTGTTCAAAAAGAGTCAGACCTCCAAATCCACCCTGCTTCCCTGAACTCCTTACAGCCTGGTTGTGCCCTACCTCTTTCATCCTAACAGGAAACTGGCGATGTATTTCCAAGTCTCTGGGGTATACCATGCAAGACTGGTGGGGGGTCGGGGTGGGTGGGTGAGCGTCTACTGAAAACAGGATAAATGAAGCTTTCCAAGCTGAAGGTTGAAATTCCCAGCTCTCCTCCCTCACTCAACACTGGCAGCATGATTTCTAGCTCCCAGGAAGGAGACTGGAAGAGCCTTCTCAGGAGAATCTGACCAGTTTAAGAGGAAAGACCTAACAATACTGATATTCAGGGTTCTTCAAGGTAGCTAGATTACTATACAGTGAAGCCCCACCTAGAGTTTTTATAATATACTTTTTCAAACTCAAATGCAATGACCCCATATACCAGCATCTGAATAAAACATTTAATGATTAATAAAATGACAAAACAAACTATAAGAGAGAGAGGAGCTAAAGAGAATAAAGCACAGGATATTGCTTGAGAAGAAACAGGCAATGCAGGAAGGAGAAAACTTGACTTGGGCTCTAAGAAACAAGAGATCTCCTTGACACAGGATGTAAAGAGTATCTGAGGGTGATAGATAAAGAGATCTCAGAATGACAGCTGGTAAAGACAGGAATAAAGAGCAACTTGCCTAATCTGTAATATACCAAAAACATCTCTACGAAAAAGAAATCAATAGATTATCTTATGTTTTGAAAGTATTTGGAAATTTAGAAAATTAAGAGAATATGAAAATTAGTTATATGATAAATACTGAGAAAATGAAGCAAAGGCAAAATAAGGTAATAGTTAATTCTAGGAAAAGTTATATTTTAAAGGCAAAGCAATCATAGTGTATACTTCATGGCTCAATATATTCAATATATTTCTTACATATTCAAAACAAAGTGAACACTAAAGTGGCCAGAGTTTCCATACAGCTCTAAGAGAAGCATGAAGGACAATAAACATCCACAGGACAGACAGGACTGTGTATGTGTGGATACTGGAGATCTGTGCAGGTGTGTGTGAAAGGGAGTTATCTTCAGCCTCTGGAACTCCATAAATTACATCTAAAACTGAAAAGTCAAGAAACAGCAACATAAGCAATATTTTCTGACACTGTAAAGGTAAAAATATAATCAGTTTTCTCTGAAAGTAGAAAATGGGAGGAAAGGGGAGGCAGCTGTCTTAATGAATGAAATTTATTGAACTATTTGTTTAAACTGTGTACATGTATAAATATGTGAATAATCATGGAAATAGGTACTACTGAATATGGAATATGAAATGGAAAATGACATTTAAGTAAAAAAGAGTTAGAAAACTATTTGATGCAGTCTTTATCAAAAAATTACATAGATGGTTTTATTCTAGGTTTTAGAATTAAGTTATTTCATTCAGTGACTCTCAGTTATTGACTTATGGTCATTGATGTCTTGAGTTTAATATATTTTTAGGTTCTTTATGGTACAATTCTTCGTAAGTATTAGATATTGGTGTTATATTATAATTTTCCATAACTGCATATTTCTATAACTGCATATTAGTGTTAAGACATGGTCACTGGACAAGAAAACTACTTCTATTGGTTTACATATGACACTGCTTTCTATGTTCGAATTTTATGTGTCACTTTAAGAAGTGAATTAACTTTTTTATTAGTATGTTAATTGTACAAAATAATGGGTTTCATTGTGACATTTTCATACATGCACATAACATACTTTAATCATATTCACCCTCCCATTATCCTCTTACCCCCTATAAGTTAGAAGTTTAACACTACATTATAGAACCATCTCAGCTGGAGGAGTGGCTCATGTGGGAGAGCGGCTGCCTAGCATCATGAACACCTGAGTTCAAACCCTAGCACTGCAAAAAAAAAAACCAAACAAAAAAACCAAAAACTATTTCTATAACCATCTTTTAGGAAAAGACAAAGAACTTTAACAAGTCACCCACGCAAGGCAGATACTCACTGTTGCTCCACTTTTAATGGCCTCTTCGTATAGCCCAATAACATCAAAAGTGCTTGTACTTGCCAACAACTTTGCTTTGCAGATCCAGAAGTTAGCAAATTTTTCAGCCTCAGGAATACTGGACAATATGGCAAATATTTCATTAGAAGGTACGCCCTGGAAAAAATAAAATACTCCAAGGTAATTATTGCCATTTCACTGGTACTCTTTCAATGTTTATCACAGAAGGTTATGTAGACATTAGTCTAATAATGATCAGACTAATTTTTCTAAATTTAAAATTGCAATTTAATTGAGATACAATGTACAAATAGTAAAATATACCAATTTTAATTGTACATTTCAGTGATTTTTGATACTAGTTTTAAGTTACATGAGACCAAATAATAGAAAAACATATATCATAGCAGAAGTTAAGAAATATATTCTACATTTTTATGGAGTGTAAAACCAAAGCTTTAGAGTAATCAATACTTTTTACATACTTATAATACTCACAATACTACATATTCGTAATAATGTGAACAGTGAATAGAGGCCAGCAGCAGCATGAAAGATGGCAGAGGCATGCAAAGGTCAGGAGTGTACATGTGTGTTTTGGGATTTGTGCAGGTGTATGTGAAAGTGGGTTAAATTCCACACAAAGGAACTTTTAAATGGCTCTGGCTTGTGCTCAGGGGAGGCAGTGGTATAGATCAGCAGGAAGGGGAGCTACCATGCCCAGAAGCCCAGGTACTGGTATACTTAGCCAAGCAGAACCTTTTGCTCCTCTTAGGATGTGAGAGACGCAAAGGTACACTCACAGTTGGGAATCATCAATGCTTGAGAAAATCAATACTATGTGAAAAGTGCATAAAACTCAACAAACAAGAATAAACATTGGAGCAAAGAGGAATAAATGTGAAGAATACTGTAGTTAGTATTGCTAGAGGGATGAGAGAAGATCACTACTATGAAACTAAAATGGGCTGTTATAGAAAAGAACCAATAGTGCAAGGCCCTGAGTTCAATCCCTATATCACAAAACAAAACAAAAAACAACAGAAGGGCAGAAGAATGACATGGACACTACTGAAGAACAAATCAATGGACTGAAAAATTCAGCTGTGAAATTCTCCTAAAACCCAGGGAAACAGAACAAAGAAATGAATGCTAGAAAACAAAAATTCATTGCTCTGGAGATCACATCTATTGCTCAGTAATTCCAATATCCATCTAAAAAATTTCTAGAAGGAAAAATAAAACAAACTACCAAAGTAGTTGTAGAAGAAAAAAAAATCAAGAACTGAACAAGAGATAATTGTTTAGATTGAAAGGCTTTGAGCAATAAAGTAGGATGAATGAAAAAAGAACCATATTTTAAAAACCAAGGATAAAAAGATAATCTTAAAAGCTTCCAGAGAGAGGAATAAAAAGATTGACCTATAGAGGAATGAGACTCAGACTGACATGAGTTTAAACAATCAATAACTCCAGATTCAAGAAATAAAAAAGGAAAACTTTAAGTTTTCTAGGGAAAATAACTTGAAATTAGAATATTATCCCTAGCCAAACTATGATTGTAAGAGGGGCTCAAATTGCTTTTGCTGAAAAGCACTGACTCCTTACTTGGGCACACAAATTAATTAAAAATAGGAGAAGCTTGGCATCCCTTCCTCCATTTTGTATCTGCCTTTGCTCAAAGCCATTCTCTTTGTAGTTACTTTGCAATCACCTTTGATTCCAGAAAGGATGGGACTGATAACGTCTTTATGATAAGGGACTGAAACTTCCATAAGGAAGAGTAGAGACTTGTGGGACAGACCATCCCTCCAAATGAAGACAATTACCTATAATGATGAGGATGTACCCTGGAGTAAAGAGCAATCATCTCATGGGAGACAAAACATTACCTCTCAAAGTGATGTTATTACTTTCAGAGAAGTGATAACATCTTCTCTGAAACCCCTCTGGGAACCCCTGGACTGAGATAATGGTCAACCAGAACATATCTGTGACTGGGACTATTTAGCAATGCATACCTTTGTCCCCTGCCCCTAATTCTTTTGTCTAATAAAACCTATAACTCATGTCTATACTTCAAAAGATGGCTAAAGGTGGACTGCGTGCTTACTCTGCTTCTTCCCATGCCATGTCCTGAGCCGTGTAATAAACCTCTTTTCTCTGCCTTCACCATGCCTCTTTATTTGGCGTTTAGGGGCAGGTGGCTGGATCTGGCATATAGAATCTCAGGAGTGTGGGTCTTGGGTCCAGAACTCCAATTTCAAGATTATAGCATGAGAGTAAAATGATGACTTTTTCATAAACATAAGGACTGAAAAAATTTGCAAATCATCTTTGAACTTACACCTATTTTTTTCAATTACTATTTTCATCATGAAATAAAAAAAATACCAAACATAGAAATGAGGGAAAATAAACATTGAATTATATAGTAAAATGGTAGGCATAAGTTTAGATATATGAGTAATTGGTATAAATGCATAGGGGTTAAATTTGCTTTTTAAAAGCAGAGAGTTTCAAATTTGGTTTAAAAAGATTCCCTCTACACATGTATATGAGGCATTCCTAAAGCAAATCAACCTAGGAAGATTTAAAACTAAAGGGATGGAAAAAGATCGAGCAGACACATTCTAACAACAAGAAGCAGGTGTGATAAGATTAATATCAGACAAAAGAGAAATCAAAGCAAGTCATTAATTTTAATGTATCTAAACATAGCTTTGAAAAAAGAGGAAGCAAAAATTGACAGAAATGCAAAGAGAAATTGTTAATGAGTAATCACAATTCCAGAGAAATTTTGGCATAATTCTTTCAGAAAGCAATAGATCAAATAAACAAAAACAATCTATATTGTTTTCAAACACTTTTGAGATATTTACTAAAAGTGATCAGACATTAAGACAATTTCATTAAGAAAATAATTTTCTTAATTGTATGAAGAAAATTTCAAGAAGCATAATAAAGTATACTTTATCAATCACAATGCAAATACAATTGGAAATTAACATAAATATTGTAAGAAAACAAATACAAATCTGGAAATTAAAAGATACTCTTTTTTTTGGGAGGGGGGATGAGGGTACAAGGTGGGTCGAGATAGAGTCTCGCTATGTAGTTCAGCCTGGCCTTGATCTTTTCATCTTCCTGCCTTAGCCTCTCCAATGCTGGGATTACAGATGTGCCATACCACATCTGGTGTGGTGGCTTTAAAAGATACTCTTCTAAAATAACTTGGGTTAAAGAAGAATTCAAACTGGAAATCTCAAGCCAATTGGAAATGAACATCAATGAGAACATATATCAATTATAGGTAAGCTACATAGCAAGCTATTGTCTCAGCTCTTCATCCACTTTTCAACCTGTGCTTTGTGATGCTGGAGCTGGAACTTTGTAGACTTTCTGCTGGACAGTAGCTCTCTACTGGGCTTTGCCAGTAGAGGACACTAGAAAGACTACAGGGATGGAGACTTCTATCTTCCCATCTGCTTTCATCACCTACCCTAGCAATGGTCTCTCACCCTGGCAGTGTAAGAGATGCTTAAATTGCTTTTGCTAAAAAGTACTAGCTCCTTCAAGGGCCTGTGAATTAACTAAAAGCAGAAAAAGTATGGCATCTCTCCTCCATTTTGTATCTGTCTTTGCTCTAAGCCATTCTCTCTGTAGTCACCTTGTAACCACCTTGAAATCAAGAAAGGACAGGAATGATCAATAACATCCTCATGACAAGGGACTGAAACTACCCCCAACAGTCGGCCCTCCTCAGAATGGACCACCTGCCAATTGACAGTAACAACTCTAGAACCTTTCCCAGAACAAGGACTAGACAATGACCAACCAGATCACACCTCTGACTGAACTGTTTGACTATGCATGCCTTTTGACCCAAAACTCATGTTTGTACCCCAAAGATGATTGAAGACGGGCTGAGTGCTTACTCTGCCTTTTCCCATGGCATGTCCCAAGCTGTTTAAGCCTCCTTTCTGCCTTCACCATGCCTCTTGGCAAATTAGGGGTGAGTGGGTGGACCTGGCATACGGAATCTCAGGAGCTTGGGCCTTGGGTCCAAAACTCTGGTTTCAGCAGCAGAAGTTGGTTCTAATCTGACATTCACAGATCCCACCTGACTGTGCCTTTGGAGGCAGGCACACCAACTGGGTAGCAGTCTTTCCTCAAGGTCTGAGTCCAGGCCAACAGGGCCCCCAGCAAGACCACTCCTCTAGACCCTGCTTGTAACAGGGGCTTAAAAATCTGCTTTTGCTGAGGAGCACTGTCTCCTTACTTGGGCCCACAAATTAACTAAAGGCAGGAAATGGGTGGATGATTGCAATGCCTCTTTTCCATAGAGATAGAAGGAATAAATGGCAGTGGGGAAAATGTAATGGTGACTACAAAAGGTTGTAGCCAGCTTGCATCCTGGCTAGTTTACTCTGTTTGTTAATTAAACTGTCATTCTTTCCCTCTCTGTCTATATGCTAGAAAGTCCAAAGTTAACTCCCTTTACCAATTAAATCACATAATCTTCTATCCCTTTATCTCTCTGGCCACCAGAGAAGTAAATCTGTCAGTCATGACATACAGCTTTGGAGATGTGGCACCAGACACCTGGAGAGAGAACCAAAGCCAGAAGCCACTCTGAACAAGAATTTATCACATAGTTAAGCTGAGCCCCCTGAACTCCCCTTTAAAAATCAGATGACAGTGCTTTGAGAGGTTGACTCTCCCTGTCCTCTTCTTCATCTGACGAATAATAAATCCTATTTCCTTTCTTCAACCATCCTGCTCTTATTATTTGTGAATTGGTGTTGAGGCCAGGGGACCAGCTTTCTGGTAGCATGCTGTGTAGTATATCTTGATTAGTTGCAGTTCTATATCCACCAGAGTTCTTTCTCCTAGTGAATTTTGTGAAATGTATATTTAGTCTTCCTCTATTTTCTGGCATACAACTTCTAAAATCCTTAGAAGGTCCAAAGTAATAGATGTCTTTTTGTATGCTAATGAACTGATTAATGGCTGGCAGCCCATGGTAGCTTCAGGATGAACTCTTTCACTGCAAAGACCCAAGAAGAATTAAAGGGTTGGGACTTCCAATCCTACCTCACCTGTCCTCTGGGAGGAACTGAAGGTTAAGTTGATCATCAATGGCCAACAATTCA